TTTTTTTTTTTTTTTTTTTTTTTTTTTACTCTTTTGAAATGTTGTTCTTCTGTTCTTTGGAAAGCAGGTTTATTTTTGATGTTCGTAAATTTCATCATATTGAATCTAGTTTTATAATTTTTAAAAATTATGTTCAATATTCAGTAGGTCCTTACATTCTGAGACTCTGTGTCTTCACTGCTTTTGTTATCTAATCGAACCTGTGTCCCCTCACCTGACACACAGCCGAGATGAACGTTGATCACCTACTTTGCAGAAAAGAAAGCTGGCATTTATTGCAATGCACCAAGCAAATAGAACAGGTAGCTAAGACCAAAGGCTTGAAATTCTTGATGGCTTACAAGCAAATGTTTTTATTGGCAAAAGTTATGGATAGGGCCCTAGGGGTGCATGATCAGCTCTTTGACAGCTCTGATTGGTTGAAACTTGTGTAATCATAGGATATTCTTGAAATCTTAGTAATCTATTATCTGGCTCTGGTCCATCTGGTGTCTACATGACTGTGGTCAGCCAGGGCTCTCAGTTCTCCTCCATTTGTGGCTACAAGTTCCTGGAAAAAAACTTACAGATATGAATCAGACATGTTATCACTGGACCTTAAAGGATCAGAAACATTTTGTGACTGACTTTTGGTATGGATTATTGTTAAACCATTTTTACTTCCTGTTTATTTGGTTATTTTGTTTCTGTACACATTTTTCTAGTTTAACGATAAGCTAGTGGTTTTAGATTTCCCAGTGCCTTGAGCCTTAGGGACTCCGTCTTGTCTTAGAAGAAGGGAATCTGAGCAAGGCTCCCAGGAATGGGATGCTTGCTTGGCCTCACTTCTAGAAGCTTTTCAAATTTTATTTCTTTAACATTGTCTTCCCAACATTCTTTCCATGTTTTTCTGTAAATATTTAAAAATAAAGTTTGAATTGCTTATCTTTTTTCTATTTATTTTAGATATAAATCAAGGAATGTGAGCGGCCTAGAGAACCTTGCAAAAGCAGCAAAACAGATACTTCCATAAAATCTCCACAGAGAAATAAGACCTGCAAACATTTTTATTTTAGCCCAGTGAGAAACATCAGTTTTCTAGCCAGCAGAATTATAAAATAGTAGATTTGTGATGATTTAAGGCACTAAAATTCTGCTAACTTATTATAGTAGTATTAGAAAATGAATGTATCTGTGCTCTCAATATCAACACGTAAATGAGTGGATGAAGGAAAAGAGAGAAAATGATTCTTGATGTAGTGTGTAGGGGACAAGGGAAACCTGCCTCTTCACCTCTAAATGTTCAAAAAAAAAAAAATCACTGACACATTCAGTTTAATGTGAAGAAATAACAAATTTTATTTTACCATGCTAGGGAGGGACAATGCATGGAGGAATTTTAACTGAGTGATAATCCAATAACCCAATGGGATACAGGAATTTTATACCATTCTTTACAGGGTTGGGTAGAGAGGAGAAATGTAGACAATTCTTTCGAGAAACACTAAATGATGGAATAAAATTTGAATGAGCCTAAGTAACAGACATTATCTTGTGAAATGGTCTGTCCAGATGAGATGACCTCTCAGTCTCTACAGTCCCTGTAGAGGTTGAACATTTTTTTGTCACTTGATGAGAATCCTATGGAGGGGTGTCTTAAGACAGTCACTCCTTTTTTTTTTTTTCTGAAAGAAGTTTTCTTAGATAAGAAGATCCTTGAGAAATTCTCTCCCTGTTGTTTTGTTGAAGAGAGCAAGACCAGGTGAAAGGGACCTTGATTCTCAGGTATATTTCAGAGGCCTTTTAATTTTCAAAGCACCCAGGATGCCAAAGTGCTATATTTTGTGGAATAGTTTTCCGTGTCTGCACAAGTGGCAACAAAAGCCCCCGCCAGACATATGGGAAGTTCTGGAGCTGGGATGACACTTTGCAGTTGTTTTGAATTGGGGTAAATCAGGTAAAACTTTATATTGCTGCATGAAGCATTCATAATGAGGGCTCCCCCGGAAGGGGGATTTGATTTTGGGTAAGGGAGCACTGATTAGCCGAGAGAAGAACCAAAGAGAGATGCAGTTAAGACTTCTGGGTCACATTCCCAGTAGTTTGTTAGTTGGAGTTTAAGTACTTCATATCTATAAGGGGCATATGAGTGGCACACGAGGGCATTCACCACCAAATTCTTCTGGTGCATGGGTTTTGTGTGGTAGAGATACTGCTGTGTAACTCCACCTCGTTTTTAGTAATTTGCCATTTGTTCTTTCTTGCCCCTGGCTTGAAAACCTCAAGAACTAGAGAAACATTCATATTCATCCCTGTATCTAAAATTTAGTTACCCCTTGTATGTTCAGGTATATGCTAGACTGCTTATTCTTGTCCTCTAATAACTAGTCCTACTGATTTTGAAATTACGTATATACTGTGTGTGTGTGCGTGTGTGCGTGTGTGCGTGTGTGTGTGTGTGTGTATGAGGGGTCTTCAAAAAATTCATATAATGATTTTTGTTATGTTTGAAGTCCCCTCGTGTGTGTGTGTGAGTGTGTATACATGATTCACTTATTTTTAATATCAATTGTAATACATCTAGGGCTCTGTGAGGGAAAGGACAATAGGTATATTGACTGCCAATTTGACAACAGAGACTGCCATATTATCTTTAAGAAGCAAGGAATAAGCAACTTTCTGGAAACTTCAAAAGGAATGCTGAACCATAAAACAGGTTTAAGATTCAAATGCAGAAAGAAGGGGTAGTATAATATATTGATTAATAGCATAGATTTTGGAATCAGATATTTGGGTTCAAATTACGCATTAGTTACTTACTAGATGAATACTTGGTAAATTTACTAAAATTATCTGTGGTTCAAGGTTTCCATGTGTAAATTGGGAATAAGCCTAGAATCCTTATCATAGGGTGGATCTGAAGATTAAATAGGTTAACATGCAAATAGCACTTTGAACATACCTTGCACATATTTCTTATTCAATGATACTTTAAATATGAGCTGTCCTTGATGGAACAGTAGGATAAAAGCCTCTAACAGGAAGATCTCACAGAAGAAAACTGGTTAAATTTGCATCTTTAGGACACTTTAAATTGTAAATAAATTAAAGAAAACCCTGATCTTACTTAATTTAACTAAACATTAAATAAAATTTTATATCACCTTAAAGGAAAGTAAGCATGTTAGTCTGAGTTCCTTATCATCAAGAAGGTGGTCTGATTTTTTTGTCAACAAGATTTCAGAGTTGCCATTGTGTGATTCATCTAGATTCTGAGGCTGGCTCTAGTTAAAGTCCTGAGACGAAGAAATAACAAATTTTATTTTACCATGCTAGGGAGGGACAATGCATGGAGGAATTTTAACTGAGTGATAATCCAATAACCCAATGGGATACAGGAATTTTATACCATTCTTTACAGGGTTGGGTAGAGAGGAGAAATGTAGACAATTCTTTCGAGAAACACTAAATGATGGAATAAAATTTGAATGAGCCTAAGTAACAGACATTATCTTGTGAAATGGTCTGTCCAGATGAGATGACCTCTCAGTCTCTACAGTCCCTGTAGAGGTTGAACATTTTTTTGTCACTTGATGAGAATCCTATGGAGGGGTGTCTTAAGACAGTCACTCCTTTTTTTTTTTTCTGAAAGAAGTTTTCTTAGATAAGAAGATCCTTGAGAAATTCTCTCCCTGTTGTTTTGTTGAAGAGAGCAAGACCAGGTGAAAGGGACCTTGATTCTCAGGTATATTTCAGAGGCCTTTTAATTTTCAAAGCACCCAGGATGCCAAAGTGCTATATTTTGTGGAATAGTTTTCCGTGTCTGCACAAGTGGCAACAAAAGCCCCCGCCAGACATATGGGAAGTTCTGGAGCTGGGATGACACTTTGCAGTTGTTTTGAATTGGGGTAAA